TAATAAAGGAAAAAGGTTAAAGTTTTATCACACTTTAAGAGCCCTTGCTACCTTGAATTGTAAATTAGGTTATTTTATAAACTTCATTAACACATTAAGACCATAAGGGTCAAGTTTATGAACTGATTTTATAAGTAGTGGCTAAAAGTTATTAAATTCCTAAAGTTAGACCAGTACAGAGCACAAAAACAGTTAGATTCAATAGCATAGAAGAGAGTCTTGTCAGAAAGAGTCTTTTGTCATAGGTCGTGGATATGCTCCATAGTGGCCCGGGGGGATCAGTGTAGTGCCAAGAGGTAGGAAACCTGGATTTGCTGCACCTGTAACTAATTCACTTGGAGGAAGTCACCTCTGCATATATCTCACTATTTACAACAGGGGAACAACAGTGTGTCTCCAAGATACTTCTTAAGGCTTTTAAAAGAATTTATATATAATACTATAAATAGTATTAATAGAATTAATATAACTGATATTTATTTGGTACATTACTTTGTGCTAGGTATTTCTCTTTCTCACTCTCTCTTACACACACACACACACACACACACACACACACACACACACACACACACACCTCTTCCTCATTCCTAGAAGCCACTCTGGGAGGTAAGTTAAGTGTTGCCTAAAAAATTGAGAACTCTGAACAGATATGCCACACACACACACACACACACACACACCTCTTCCTCATTCCTAGAAGCCACTCTGGGAGGTAAGTTAAGTGTTGCCTAAAAAATTGAGACTCTGAACAGATATGCCCTAACTCAAGATCACACATCTCATGAGTGGTCTGTCTAATTCTCCCTTAGTAGGGAGAACACAGATGGACCGAAGATTGCAGCCAGTGGCCTATCACCCTACTAGACTGTAAGAGGGTGAAACATTCAGCTCTTGGTAGCTATGCAAAGCATAAGTAAGGGTCTTTGTCTGATTGGTTCAGGCTTCATCTGAGTATAGATACCTTCCAGATTACCTGAGCATGCTCTTTCACATCATTCTTTATGTATAGCATTTATTGAGAAAGACCAGTAAGCTATAAACTAGACAATGGATACTTGGCAGCCTCGGTGGTAGGAACAGAAAATAAAGAGCCTCCAAAAGCCATATCCATCACTGAAGATGACATTGAATTACAGATGTTGAGTTCATCTTGCTGGTTTTAGATTCTCGCTTGTGTTAGTCTATGAGGCTGGTCCATGATTACAAAGATAAGCACTTTTTGTATCTAGTTGTCTTTGCTTTTATATGACCTGGGATGCTCAGTAGTCATGTCATACACAACCCTCATATTCCTCAATGCAAAGCTCAAGTGAGTTTTGAGGGAAAAGGCGCAGAGAACAAGCTGAGGACGCCCAGAAGTGGGGGTTGAAATCCGTAATCAGGTTTTCACCTTTCTGCCCTTCATAATGAAAACATAACAATAATATTGACAGTACATGAAACAGGGGTGTTTTGCTCCCCTCTCTAAAATCTGTACCAGGCTATCATTCATCTTTGGGCCCTGTTTGGATTGTTGACTATTTATCCAGAAAGTGTTTATTTCCTTATCATTTGAAGAGCTTCAATGACGCCTTCTCAATGATGTTAATTCTCCTTGGATCAGCACCTGCTATCCCTGTGATATTCATAGAGCCTCAGGTAACTTTTGCTTCTTTGCTACATTTGATGCTCATTGAAGGAAGTGGTGATCACACCAATGGTCCAGGGCTGAATGTCCTTGGGCTGATCATATTTCACATCTGTTCCTACTTCAGACAGAAACTGGCCCCTTTCCAAAAACCAGTTTAATTCAGCTCTTTGCTGGAAAGATAAAGACCATCAGAAGAGCATTGAGCTCTGAGAGGCAATTCTTACAGTTAACTAAGATTATTTCATTACGAAGCTTCTGCTACAGAGGTTACCTTCACAGACCTACAGTTGTTCCTGGCACTGGTCTGTGACTTAGGGTAGGTTGGGCTGGCTGGTGGCTGCATCAGAACCATCTGTGAAGCTTATGAAATACAAATTTGGCATGTGAGAGCAAGGGCTGTGAATAAGTATTTTTCTAATGTGCATACTAGTTGGGAAGCACAAATCTAGAACTGTCTCATGTAATGTTGAGGTACTGTTAAAACAATAGTTTAGGTGTAGACTCTGCATAGCAGCAAAAACATGCTATTTGTCTTTCTGATCTTGGCTTATCTCACTCAACCTGATGACCTCTGGTTTCATGCATTTTCCTGCAGACAACACGATTTCATTCTTCTTTATGAGTGAATAATACTTCATTGTGTATATATACTATATTTTCTTTCTCCAGTCATCAGTTGATGGGCACCTAGGCTGACTCCATAGCTTGGCTATTTTGTGATTATAAAAAGGTGACTGTTTGCGTGGAGGGGGACCAGCAGTATGAGGGAGGGGGAAAGGAGAAAGTTGTGGGGAGTGAATATGATCAAAGTATACATGTGTGAAAGTAGCATAATAAAACCCACTAAAAACTGTTAAAAAGGAGGGAAGAAGGATTAAGAAAGAGTAATTGAGGGCATGACTTTAATCAAAGTACATTATATGCATGTATGGAAATATCACAATGAAACTACTTTGTGTCATTAATTTATGCTAATGAACAACCATTAAAAAAGATCTAAAAAACGGATTGCAGCAGCCTTTCATTTTTCTTTCTTAAAAGTCAAATTTTATGGTCACTTTACATAATGTTCTGACACAGATTCCTTTCACCTTCCTGTGTCCTACCCTTCATTCACTTACCCAGTATATAACAGCTATCTAAGGTGGTTTTTAGAAATGAAGGCAAAAAGATCAAAGGACACGTGATACTGAGAATAAAGAAGTCTTTTATGTAGTCAGATGACAATCAAACAGTAAGTCAGCTGCTGAGGACATTGCAATTGTTGAAACTTACGAAATTTTCTGTTAAGTCAGGCAATGCATGCCAGAGGGCCAAGAAACCCTTTGGATGGTGGCTTGGCAAAGGAGAAGATGTTTGCTAGATGTCAGGTAATTTGTAAGAAGCAGAGTGAACATTTTTGCAAAGGTTTAATGGCCACAAAGCCTGATATGTGACAAGAAGTACATGTTTCAGAGTTTCATCATCATCACAAAATACTAAGCAATACAGGATAGGAATGAGGGTGGACATACAAACTAGACAGAGTCTAGAATACAAGGAGCTTGGGAGTTTGTATGACTTCATTACCAATCTTCCTTGTCACATACGTAGTGTTTTTCTAAACACTTCATTGATCTATGTCTTTTATGTGTCCTTTCCCCAGCAATATGGCATGATGAAATTTCTTATTCTCACGCAATACCTTAGAAGCAGCAGAAGCTACGTAGTAATTTTCTAAATCACACCTGGGGTCCTACCTGCACATCTTATTTTCTGGCCCTATTCACACACATTCATTTCTGAAGCAGAAGTCACCTTTGGAGCTTCCTTCTCCTTAAAGCCTATATCCTCTTTGAAAGCTGTTTTCTTTAACAGAGGCCAGGGAACAAATGTCAAAGGAATGGTGATGGTGAATAGGTCTGACCGTTGATCCATCACCTTTAAATAACTGTAAAGAACATCATCCAGAGCGGTACAGTCCAAAACTGCCTTTCCTATACTGGCTTTCACTCCTCTACTATCATCCTTCCATGTGTTTCACTGTGTTTTCATTCAAACTCAAACTCTTACCAGACCCAGCATAAGTAGCCTGTCTACTTCCCCAACCTCATCTCATGCTACTCTTTTTTCCAGACAAAATTTATTTCTACTTCAGGGCTCTGCATATGCTATTCCTTCTGCCTGAAATCCCACCCCCATGTAAATTTCTTGCCCCTGAAAAGATCTTTTGCAGCCTCTCTTTAAACAACACCCACTCCCCTATGTTCTGTGATACTTAACACAATTTTATATTGTTTTGTTTTTGTTGACTTTATTTCTTTATTGCTAGACTTCTCTTTTAAGTCTCATGAAGTCAATGACTCAGTGTGCCTATGCACACTGTGCTCTATGTAATAATAAATGTTATGTAAAATAAATATTATGCATTTATTATTAAATAACAGATAGTAATAAATGTTCATTTGTTAATAAATGGTTTTGATGGCTTATTGTTTATAAATATTGGCTATTTCATAATAAATTAAGTAATTTAAACTTAATGTTAGATTAAATAATTATTTGCAGATGGATGATAGAGGGATGGATAGAGCAGAAGTCTCTAAGTTGAATTCTTCACAAAATCCAACCTACCATTTTTTACTCCTGCCATAGCTTCACTAAGCCAAGCTCCTGGAAATATTTTTCTCCCCCATAATCCAACAAAGCTACATCCATCGGGGCATAACACTATTAACTTAATGAAATCTATGTCTTTAGAGCTGACACTGAATTTTCCCTCTTCTGACTCATAAAGGAAATAAATATATATTTTGTTAACACTTTGGAGTATTTTTTCATTGTTTCTGCTGGGATTAATTATCCATATTTCATCTAAGTTACTATTTTCAAAAGATTATTTTTCTCATAATAAAAGCAATAAAAATGCATTCAAATGTGAGGAATGCTAAAAAATAATAAGCAAATATAAATCCTGTATAGTTTCTCTACCATGAGTTAAATACTATAGATACTATAGATATTTTATGTTTTAGCCATCTCGTGGTCTTCTTATGTTTCACAATTCTGTGTGTATGTGTATGTATGTATCCTGAAATTTTAACATAATGTTAAGCTGAGCATGTCCTTATGCTATTATAAATACTTCTAAAAAGTCTGTGACTGTGATAGCTGCAGAAATAAGAGGTGAAGCTCTGGAATAATTTTAATTAGGAGCAAACAAAGAAGACTGGATCACTAGCAAATGGACCTAGTTCGAATGTGGAGTGTATTGAGCACACAAATGCCCTTATTGAGTGTGTCCCTACTAGACATCTAGGACAAGAATTGAGAATGCCTTGGCAGAAGTCCTCACTGTGACAATAACACATGTTTCCTTCTGTTCTAGAGTGACCGTCTTCTTATCAAGGGAGGCAGAATCGTCAATGATGATCAGTCTTTTTATGCTGATATCTACATGGAGGATGGGTTAATAAAGTATGTATATGAAACTCTTTCTTTTTTCATTTCCTCTCTCATTTGAGGCCTAGAAAGAACCTTGGATTGCATCAATAAATTGAAAATTCTGAATTCAATCAACTGAATAATTCTGAGGGCCTCTTTGTGCAAGTATATGGACAGGCACTCTATGGGTCATGGAAAATGGATGATGTGGTCACTGTCCTTCAAGATATTGAGAAATGGGCACAAATTGCAGCATCCTAAAAATACCAAGACCCTGGGTAATAGGTATCAAAGGAGTTCCAATCAGGATATGTGATTTAGAAGTACATAGAAAGTAATTATTTATAAGTAAGACTTTGGATAGAGAGGATGTTTAAATAAACTTTAACAAAAGGGCAGGACTCAGAAGGGCAGGGCAAGATGAGGTATGCATTTCAGACATGGTTTCCAAACAAATTCATCAGGGATGCACAATTTCTTTATGAAACAGCTTGCCATTTAACACCTGTAAGAATCATGTCCAGTTCATTTTTATGTTTATGTTTCTTACATAACAAATTTCAAAGGAAGATTTGATTTACATGGTCTTTTACATGCTCAGCAAGATGTCATATAAGGCTGGCGTATCCAGCCCCTCCTGTTAGCCCCTTCTGACTTCATTCAGTTTGATTTTTATATTGTTCAACTTCATTGGCTAGTTTAAGTTTCTGATTACAGGAGATCTTTTTCCTATCTTCAAAAAAGCGGCTCACATAATTTTCTGTAGGCAGGCATTCTTCACCAGGTCCCAAGTCTCAGCTAGCTTCACCTTCCATGTTCTCAAAACATCAAACATCCTGTGTTTTTATCAATCACAACAATTCTGATGAAGTTAGACCCCCTTTAGAGCAAGGGTCACATCTTGTTAATCTCCATATTCCCAAAAGTCTAGCACAAAAAGATTTAATAAGAACTACCTTTTGTTGAATGTGTAGTATGTCTCAGACTCTGTGTTAAGTGTTTTACATATTTTATCTTGTTCAATCTGCCAGCAACCCTATGAAGTAAATATACAAATACCCTTTTCCTCAGATGAGGATAGAGAGGGGCACAGAGAAAGTAAATAAAGATCAGCATATTAATCAAATATATTCAGTGAGTGAGTGAATGAATGAACAAATGCATGAGCAATAATATTTATTCATAGTTGCTTTGCTAATTTCCATATTAATAGTAGGAGAAATAGAAATAATAGGTAAGCCAAACTGAATAATACGATAATATCGTCAAACTATAAGACACACTGAGTATGTATTTTTTTCTTATTAAAAAATTATAATATATTGTTGGAAGTACAAGTTCCCTCATGTAGAGACTTGTAGAAATAAATAATTAGCATCTAGCATTCCCTTGTTTCATAGCTTATGACAGTCATTATTCATTGATCACAGAACTTTTTTGCATTTAAGCCATAAATACAGATTCAGAATCCATCTTTCCACAGTGCCCTAGGCAGGCACTAGCAGTTGAATAAACAAGATTAATCTTTCTGCCATGTTTATTAGAAAGACTGGAAGATTGCTTGCAAAGGATGTTATAGACAATTTGCCACCAATTGTCTGCGCTGGTGGTAGAGAGAAAGTTGGGTAAATATGATCTTTATCCAATCCTGACATTTTGTTTATCTTCAACAATGTTCTCAACTCACAGAACTTAAGAAAGAAATAATCTTCCAGTTGTGGCATAATTGTTGCCTGTCTTAAAGAGTACTTCTTCATGCAAGGCAGTTGTCCGAGGCACTGGACACTGCTGTGTGTTTCTAGCACCTTTTATGATTGGGGTCCAGATCATCATGCTTTCTTCCCCTAAGGACCTTGCAATCGTGTAGAGGAACTGAGATATGGGTAATAGCATTGCTAAGTATTAAATTAGAATAGGTGAAACTCAGAGTAGGAAGAGGGCTAGTTCTTAATTTTTAACATCTTATGTCTGTTGAACCATAATGCACCTAACAGTATTCTGTGGGCTTAAGAGATATTAACATGTACTCTACACGACATATGGAGGAGATATTTATTACATTTTATGGATGAAAGCATTGAGGCATGTTGAAGTTAAGTGTCTTGGCCACGACCATGGAGCTAGTAACTGGCAGAGCTAGGACTGTGAATTCTAGTAGTCTATATTCAGAGCACAGCTACACCATTCATTATTAGAGTTAACTGTCAGTAAAAACTTGATGGAGACAAGAGATGGAAGGTGAACCTTCAAAATTGCTGTGACCTTGATGAGTGTGGTGGAGAAAAAAGGGAAACATATTTCCGTTTCAGACTTTGTGTTATGCTAATTGTCAAGATGGGTAGAAAAAAAAACATGAAACATGCACCCAGGCCAGGCAAGGCTTCTATTGTTTCTCAATTTCTCTTCGAGGAAAAACAGCAAGGAAGAAAAATGGGCACAAAACTGGCCAGCTTCTGGACTAGAGTGGAGTTCCAGTCAGAGGCTGCATTTTTTCCACAGTGTGTTTTGAATTGTGGTAGCCCTGGAATGGCTCTGTGGTGATGTGGTGAAGTTGAACTCTTAGAGATGTCAGAAAAACTTTAGTTTCAGAACTTAGTTTGGCAGGCCAGTGTTGAATTCCGTACTGCTCCAAGACAGTCTTTCTGTCTGGCTATATAGAGAAGGAGAAAGTATTCATGCCACTGGCACTGGGGTACAAATATACCCCAGGTAAGAGAAATTTAATGATAATGTAGAGAATATGGTACTTGAAATCTGTGGGTATAGGTTTGATCAGCTGTTAAAATAGGAGTATGAAATCACATAAAAATGAGTGACATTGGATGATCTCTAGGTGACATTGTACAGGGAAAAGTTGCACTTTCCTTGTAAGGTGTATCTTTGAGACACTTGTCAGCTTGGCTCCCAACCTGAGTCTCCCCCAACTCCTCCTTGGGATTTTCTGAAGCTTCCTGGACCATACTGTGTCTTGGAGCAGTTGTTGTGATCTCTTTCCTTGGCTTGAAGCTTCTATTGAGATGCCAGAGGCATCTGTACCTTTGACTTCTTCCTTGCAAGTCTGCCTGATATCAGGTGAAGGTGACTGACGAGCTATCAGGGAGGAGTGAAAGTGAGAATGAAGACTGGAATAGGAAATGACCCAGGCAGAGTCCTTTTGTTAGGAGCACAGATAACCTGCTTAAAAGATAACTACATTTTCAACCTGTTCTTGCAATGATTCATTACCTTCTTCTGTTTCTCCTGAGAGTCTATTATTGGACATTCTTCATAGTTTTTTCAACTGTTATTCTTCACCCTTAACTAAAAGAACAAAATGAAAAGAATAATGAAACGCTTACTTTAAAAAATATTAACCACACACACTGTACTCTAGACACTATCAATCCATGAGTTACAGTACAAAGCCAGCACACAGTCCCATATCAGATCATTTTATGTCAATAATAACATGTTTTCTTTGTTTAAAGATTTCTAGACTTCTGAGTCACTTGCAAGGACTTCCTTGACAGATATTACAACATTTAAAACCTTATAATACTATTTGTCTTGCGAGTTGCTCTTTTAAATTGCCAGTTGTTTCACTGTCTTACCAGGCAAATTGGAGACAATCTGATTGTCCCTGGAGGTGTGAAGACCATCGAGGCCAATGGGAAGATGGTGATTCCTGGAGGCATTGATGTCCACACTCATTTCCAGATGCCCTACAAGGGAATGACCACGGTGGATGACTTCTTCCAAGGGACAAAGGCAGCCTTAGCGGGTGGCACCACCATGATCAGTAAGTTCTCAGATTTTATACACTCCTGTTGCCCAGAGGTGCGTGTTTGACAAACATGCCAGCCACAGTGCTGCCTAATGATACTTTGTCCACATCTGTCAATTTGGTGTGTAGTCTTTCTCCTTGATGAGATCTGGCCTTGTTTTAAGGAAATTGGTAGCTCCCCATAACTACATAGAGGAGCTATGGAGCCTGATAGTCATATGAGGCTATAAATATGAAAACAGCCAAGAGAAAAATAATTCACAGAAAGAATGATAATGGAGACTTGCAGTTCTTGGGATATTAATGGCTTCAGTGGATTTGGTGATATTTGGTCTGCACTGTATTTTAACCAATTTGTATCTTTAAAATTGGGCAAGCTATGTGAGTGATTTGCCCCGTTCTTTCTTTACTTATTTAGTTTAGTTTCCTGTAACTTTGCAATTCCAAAGAAAGTGAAGGAGTTACATGCCACTGGATTACTGAACCAATAGCATTCCAGGGCAGTCCATCCTATCCTGAAGGAATCTCAATGAGTTGGGTTGTAGCCCAACTCTAGCCCCTAGCTCGGTCATTCAGAGCACTATTTATTTTAACATTGCTTACATCCACCCACACACACTGAGCAGCCTGGGTCATAGAATTACTGTCTGTCTTGTATTTCCTTTGACTGGAGCATTAGCCGGATTTAGCTTCAGCTAGTTGGGTGTGGAAACCCAGGAAAATTGCATCAAGGCCATAAAAGGTGCAATCCAGGGAGACCAAAGCTTTTCTCCAGCTGACAGAAGGAAGCCAGCTGACTTCTCAGCAGCTGCCTGCTCACGAATGCCCTAATGTGGTTCCAGACATTAGTAATCTAGCTGCACGTGTTTGCTTTCCGATAAGTACACTTGGGCTGCCTTTGATAGAAAGAAGGCTGAGGAAATAGTGACCTTGGCTTGACTGTCTGCATGTGGGCGAGGAGCTGGACCTTCAGCTTCCTTGAGATACATGTTATCCTTGGTTTTCTGTGTTGAGGAAGCAGCAGAGGGAAAGTCAGAGATCCAGGTGACAAGAGTAAAGCATACAGTGAACCACAAAAACCTTCATGTCCTTGGTAAATAACTTAGAAACCCTAGACAGATAAAAAGAAAAGAAGCCTTGTAATCCCACATCACTGTTAGGGTTGGCTATACAATCCACACATAATTTTTCCCATTTCACAATAAGATCTTAATATTTATATCTTAGCCTGCCACTTTCACTAAATTGTACATCATGGGCATCTCTCCACTCATTCATTTTTATTCTACAACATTTAAAAATGGGTGCCTCCTCATCATTTTATGAAGGCATCACAATTTACATATTTATCCAAACCTCAGTTGTTAACAACTTTCATGTTTTCCAGCTTTTCAGTTACATAACTATATTAGCACACATCCTTAGAAACTAAATTTCGTATACAGATAGATAGAGCTTATTTCCTTAAGAATAATTCTTAGACATGGGAATAATGATTGAGTTAGGTATGACAATTGTCCATGTTTTTGATATGTATTATGTATATTTCAAAGTTGTTCTCAGGAAAATTGTGCCAATTCACACTTTGCCTTACCTCCCCAGGGGGGAGAACTATAAATGTACAATTTTGCCTTAGTGAGGGCTAACTATAGATGTGATATTTAAAAAAAAAATATTATTCTCAGTTGCAGGAGTAAAAAAGGTCTGGGCCTCACAGATTCTTGCTAGAAAGTTCTAGCATAGAAATGAGATCTTTGGGCTAAGTTCAGATTCAGTTAAGTGACGCCAGATCTTTCTGAATCGGTTAGCAGAAGGACCTCTGTCTCTTCTGCCTTGCATACCTAGAAACCTCTCCCTCCACCCTGGGAGGACAGTTCCATGTTGATCAAGAGCAGTGACTCTGTTTAATAATAACAGTGCATAGTAGGTACTCATTGCTGACTAACATTTACTGAGCACTTACTATGTGCCAGGCACAAGATGAAGCATTTGACATGCATTTTCCCACTTGATTGTATAGCAAACTCAGAAGGAAAGCACCATCATACCCCATCACCCACCTCACCTGACACCGTTTTAAGGAGAGAAACT